ATAATATTATATTAAATAATATTATATTAAATTTTGACACATCAAGAATCAATGTAAGCTTTTATGCTCCTTGTTTTAAATTGTTTAATTGTTTAAATTTTTAATATTAATCTCTCTCTCTCTTTCTCTCTCTCTCTCTCTCTCTCTCTCTCTCTCTCTTTTTCTCTCATATTTATTTTGCTTGAATAACTTTAATGTTTTGCGTAGATGTTACAAAGGTGGCGGCAGTCCCGCCGCTCTTTCAACTACGAAGACTTTCTCCACTTCGAGCGGACCGAGTGCGGAGCAGCGAATGGCAGCGGAACGGTTACGCGGCGTCGCCGTTGTAGTCTGTCACGACTGTCGTATCATGGTCATCCAAATAATCAAGAGCTCAAGAACAACACGTGCAACGATTCGCAACAATGTCATTTCTCGCCTTACTCTGAACCTCTCTCCTGCCTATATTTAATTATTATCGCCTCTTAATAACATTTACATCGCATTGTTTTTTCCTACTGTTTTTTCCAAATATCAGGAAATGGAAAATATTATCAGGAATATTTTCCAAATATTTTCGCGTTTTATTATATGCATATTATACAATGGGAACAATCGATACCATTCAACGCAATTTGAAAACGGATGAAAGGGAATTTATACGGATGCAAAGTAGGACATTTATTCTCTCGTTACACTGTTTTTTGTTGCAAGATAGTAATGATGTATGAATTTTCCATATATGAAGATGTATTTATAAAACATAATAGTATGAATTCTTCAAGCTATATATATAAAATATTACATATATTACGTATTAAAACATTTGTGTTCTAAGTTAAAGAAAGCTCTTATTTAAAATGATGAATATTTTAGATCAGAAAGAAGAAGAAAAGAGAAAAAGAGAGAAGAAAGAGGCACCCAACATTGTATGATTGTTTCTACTAGATACTGATGTCATTATTGTCTCTTTAAAACATACGCGTACTATGATAACCATTTCAGTTCATGAATCAGTACAATCTGACCTAATGGATGCTTATGCTTTGTACTTGTAAGTATTATCATATCATTGTAAGTGTTACGTATCGTTATTTTATTTAAAACACTCTTTAATAAACTAAGATTAATAGATTTTATTATGGGTCTTCGAAATTGGTTCTATGGAATATGAATTATTTTTACATTTTGATATTTTTTTAAATGTAAAAATTCTAACTGCATAAGTTTATTTTACAATAATTTTGTGTATAGTTTACTACAGAATATCTGTGATTTTTGCACATGGTAGTGTTTCACAGGCATTTCTACATATCGCTCAGAATCTAAAACCCGCAAAACTAAAAACAATCTCGATGTTAAAGTTTCAAAGATGTAAGAATCTGTGAATCTTAGTTAATTATTTTTTTGGTGCAACAGTTAAAAGTGTTTTCTATAAAATAGAATTTATATTGTCTATTCTCTATTAGATAAAAGCACAAAGTAAATTCCAATTAAATATTTTATCACTTATTTTATATTTTATTGCGCATGTTATATTTTACATAAGTAACGAATTTAATACGTATCATTTATTTAAATTGTCAATAAATTGCCAAAATGAAACATTGTTACGTTTACGACATATCTATTGCCATAATAATATTAATTCAGTACTATATCTATTGCCATAATAATAGTAATACACTCAAATGTGTAAAAAATCATATTATTGTCAAATTATTATACTTCTTCATGTATGTAAATTCTTATTTTTTATTATTTATATTAATTTATTGAAATATTAAGTACTAAAGAAGAAAGGAAAACTAAAATATTCAAATAGTTAAAAATAAAAGGTCGTATATAAATAAAAAGTCGTATCGTAACATCGTAAGAGTCGTAAGTATATTGTACGACGAAAATTGACGCATCGAATTGGCTGATGCAACAAGTTTGCGACAGCTACGATACGACGAATGTAGATTAGGCTTAAAGATTAAAGGTTATCAAAAAATTCGTGAATAAATTTCATTGAATCTCTTAGTAACTTTTACTCTTTAGATAATCACATATTGTGAAAACAGGCCTTAAAAATAAATATTTGAGATCATGCTAAAATTTAGAAGTTTAAATATTATATTAAGAATGTAAGACTAAAGAAAAAAATTTTTAAATATAGAGATTCAAGGATTTCCAAACAAATTAAATAGATTAAAAAATAGATAATTTAAAACTAAATGGATAATTTAAAAATCTATCAACAGAATTATGAATCTAAGATATATTGAGAAAAATTTAAAAGTGTAAAAATTCGAGAATAAAAGTTCAAGTAATCTGTTTATGAAACATTTTACAAAATCGATTTTTTATTTTATTTTCTAATTTTAATAAATTTTCTAATTTCTTAAGAGTATTCTAAAGACAATTAGTAATATTGATATAAGTAATATTGATATAAATAGCACGAACAGACGATTTATGTTTCATTGATATGACTAGATCAATATCTCATTCATGCATACCCCATACACACACACACACACACACATTAATTTTCGTTTTAATTAGATGCCTTCAATTTTAAGAGTTTCACGTTGCTTCTTCGTGTAAACTATTATAGTTAGACTATTATTAGTAGACTATTATTTCTAAAGCTGTCACGTCGTGACAATATTTGCTTTATAAAAGCTATGCAGTCTGTACTTACGAAATAGTAGTCCACAAACTAATAATTTGCACGAAACAACATGGAATTCATAAAATTGAACTTAGACGTCTAATTAAAATGTTATATATATATTGTTATACGAAAATTTATGTGTGAAATATTGATGTAGTAATATGTAGTGATGTGTCAATGACGTAAATCGTCTGTATGTAAGTGCTATTTATGATATAACTAATCATCTTTATGATTCCCTTAATGTTACAAATTTTAATCCTGTATATCACATTTGTGGGTACAAATTCAATACGTAAATTCTTGGATCTCTAATTTTTTGCTTTAACATATCCTTAAATTTCAAGAAGTTTGATACAATTTAAATCATTCAAAAATCTATGATATTATTTATTTTTATTATACATATTTATATACCCGAAAAAAATTTCATATATAATTATATAAAATTATATATAATTATATATAAAATATGTCCATATAAATGACATTTTTTTTCGAGTAATATTACTTTAATACCATGAAATATAAATATTGATTATTACTAATATTTTTTGTACTTTATCAATCATTGTTTTTCATTTTCTTATTTTTCAATTTCTTAAAATAAACACTCATTCTTTCTATAACAATAGATTCTTAATGTATGTGTAATATATCTAGGTAAATTCGATAAATTCATTAGAAACATTCATGATTATATCTCCTAATCTTTGGCAATTTTTTCAATTACTTACATTACAAATAAACATTGCAGATTTACAGATAAAAGCAAGAGCATGTTTTTATTTAGTGTAATAAATATACCTGAATGAACAAAAATTACAATATTGTTGGTCATCTTAGAGAAGGCAGAACCGAACAAAATCGAAGATTTATAAAAAAAAAAAGATGACAAATAATTGATACATCATATGGTCTATTGTTTTAAAATCTTTTTTTATAAAACATTACTGTGTTAATTTTTCATAAATAGCATGTTCAATTATATTAAGAAATTAACTATATGCCTAAAAAATATACAAGATATTCTAAAAATATATGTATCACAATAGTTTTATTTCTAAGAAAATATAGAGAGAGAAAAATATATAGAGAGAGAAAATGCGATTTTGAATTGATATTATTTTTAATTAATATCACAACTCATTTGAAATCTATTTAAATATTCCTTTTATATTTTCCTTAAAATATGATATAATACTTTTATAACATTAAATTATATTCGTATGTAACATATTATTTATATTAAATTAAGTAAATCTCAGATTCATAATTGATTAAATTTAATGTTAAATGCAACACTAATCGGAAATACAAATATGGACTAACGTTTTTCAATTAATAAAAAATAAAGAAATTTTACATTTTTTTAGAATACCTTGCATATAACAAATAATTACAAATTGTAATTATTTATTAACAACATTCTGTAAGAGATAGAATAAAGACAAATATTATAGAAAAAGAGCAGATGCGAAAATTATCAACACGTTTTATTATAATATCTTCATGTCAGTGAATAATTAAATAAATTTAATAGAAGCTTTAAACAGAAAACGAAAGAAGGAGATAAATATACAATTTAAGTGTGTGTCTTAATGAGGGTCTAAGAAACATTAATTGATTATACTCGATGTGTGTTATTAGTCAAATATGTAATAGAATTGAGATTGATGATTGAATATTAATTATATTTATTGTATCGCGTTGCTATGCAAACAAATACAAACGTTTAGGAATATATATAAAAATTGTTATTTGAATTATGTTAATTGTATATATTGTACATGACTCTTTTTGTTGAAAAAAAAACATCTTACAACGACATTATTTATTTTAAATTTCTTTAAATGCAAACAAATAAAGCTGTGACAGTAGTGACTATTATTAAATGAATGTATATAAGCGAGCGAAAATCGATTGTAAAGATCTTGATCGTGATCATGATTATGATCTCTATAACATGGTACAAAGTACAAAAAGGTAACGAATTATGAAATTTTGTCATTAATAATTTCAAAATGTTTTAATGTTAAAGCTGATAAGTAATATTAAAAAAGTCACAGAGTTAAAATTACATAAAATACCGAAGTATTGATTACATATCTCTTTTATTATTACTTTTTTTTATAAAAAATATTTTACTTTACCTTTTGAATTCTTTTTTCTTTTCTGTTTATGGAATGAATTGTAAGAATCCATTCTTATAAATTGTATTCCCAACGCATTTTTGAAAGATTTTTAAATACTTTTTAAATCTTTGGTTGATGTGATTTTTGTATTCTTAAAAATCCAGATATTTAATATTTTTTATTTTTATTTTCTACAAACTATCTTTAAATCTTTAAATGTATAATTACTTTCTGAAAAAAGAAAAAAATTATGAAAGATTTAAATATTCCAGAAATGTAAACTATAATATTCTGTGTAAAATATAATAGAATTTTTATAACAACATAATTCGTTACAAGCGTTTCCATTTATGCGTTTAATAAACAAATTATCTGTCTTATTAGAATATGTATCCTGCTTCATTTTGTTGTATCTATAGAAATGTAAATTTGCGATTTTAATCGACTATAGTAATGTAAGTAGTTAAATGATATACAAAATCGAACAGAAAGCTAGAAAATAAGAAATAAATATATATTCAAAATGTTAATTATGTTACACTTTTATTATTACCTCCTTTTATTTTTTCTATTTAATATTGTTATATTATTTCGAAATTTATAACAATGATTATTTATTTCTTTTTTGCAAGAATATTTATCTGTTATTACATATTTTATTTATCTATCATATTACAACAAGAGATAAATTTAATATTTTGTGCTCTTATCTTACAATACAGGGACATCCCATTTGAAGAAATGCATATTTAGTATTCATTTCATGTCCTGATTATGTCCATGAGGAAAAGACGCCCAAAAGACAATTCTTAAGAGTCCATTATCTCGATCTGGAACGGACATACAATAGGCGTTCTTTGGATGGACGTCCACACC